CAGAACTGGATGGACCCCAGTATTGCTAAAGATATACATACATGAGCCACATAAGAAAAATCAAGTTGATGCTGACTTCAGAGCCACATCTCTACTGTCTAGTGTCCATAGTGCTGGAAGGTGCTGTGTATGCTACCAGAAAAAAAAAAAATCATCAACTGCACCCAGCTGTAAATGCTGTGAACTACAATAACAACTGATCTGGCAGATATGCCCACCACTGCAATAGTGGCACAAATATTATGGATTTAGGGTCTGCTTCACAGGATGGAGCCCATACCTGACACTGATACCAGGCTTAGGAACCTGAGGCTAGACAGGTCACAGGACATAAGGGAGAGCCCAATACTACTTTTCTACTAAATAGTTATCATGTTAAACTGACTTCTAATGACTTGTTATACCATACTCAATGCTCACCAGAGACGTTTCCTTATGTGACAGATGGTGATTAATAGAGAAACCAGCAACCAATGTACAGAGAACAAGAGATTTCAGAATGCTAATCCCTGAATAGACACATATATCAAATTTCTGCCATCCAAGGCTCAGGGATCATTGCAGGAAATGGGGTGGAAAGATTAAAAGAACCAGAGATGATGAAAGAGGGGATGGGAACAGAGTTTTCCAGGCATCTGGTCAGTTACTCATATAAATACACAACAATGGTGACAGCATGCACAAATCCTATGCAAGCTCAAATCAAGAAAAATCCCAGCACACACATGAGGACGTGAATAAGAAACCCCAACCCAACCTATGGAAATTGTGAGAACAGATGGCTTCTGGAAGGAGCAGAGACAATCTCTTTCAAGGATGGGATCTTGGTAGGTTAACCAAGCTCCAGTGGATGGGCCTACACTGAAGGACATTTGAGGACACTAATTAGACTCTATAGGCCATGTATATGTATATACACATTAAATTGGGCAGGGGGCAATAAGAGGAGGTGTGGATAGGAGAGGGAATCTAAATACCATCAAATTACATTGTATGTAAATTACAAAATTCAATAAAATTTTTTAAAGTAAAAAAAAAAGCAAAAGTTCAATGCCTAGGAAGAGATTATTTTTAATTTTATTTATTATTTTTATTTTATGTGTATGAGTGTATTGCCTTCATTCATGTAAGTGAATGCATGTTGTTCCATGCCCATGGAGGTCAGAAGAGGGTGTCGATTTCCCCTGGAACTGGAGTTATGGACAGTTGTTAGCCACCATGTGGGTGCTGGGAATCGAATCCAGGTACTCTGACAGTGTTCTGAATCACTGAGCCATCTCTCCAGCCTGGAACAGATTTAAATATACACCCAGAAACTTAAAACCACTTGGATTTATTTCAAGGTCGACTAAAATTATCATATTCTGGGCATTAGACATTTGCAACTAATTTTCATATTATTCTTGTTAGATATATATTTTCCGTGGTGCATGAGACTTCAAAGAAATTATTTCTTTGTTGTAGGCAGCTTGGTACTTTCCCCTCAAAGTCTGTAAGGTATTCACACATTGGTGAGTGAAGGAGAATTTTGAATATTTATTTATTTATTTATTTTATTTAGTGTATGAGTGTTTTGCTTCCATCTATATTAAGTGCACCTGTGTTGTGAAATGCCCATGGAGGTCAGAAGAGGGCATCAAACCTCCAGTGGAACTAGAGTTACAGACAATTGTTAGCCACCATATGGGTGCTGGGACCCAAACCCAGGTCCTTTGCAAGAACAGCCAGTGCTCTTAATCACTGAGCCATCTCTGCAGCTCCTGTAAAGTGGAATTTTGAATGGTGAAACAGAGCTTGGTACCGTCCATTGCCAGCCGCCATGTGGGTGCTAGGAATCAAACCCTGGTCCTCTGCAAGAGCAGCCAGTGCTCTTAACCACGGAGCCATCTCTCCAGCCCTGGTTTTTCATTTTCTTAATTGTGTCTTTTAAAGAGGAGAAGATACAACTGCTTAATGAGTTGGATTTTCTGTCCCACGATAACGAATGTTTGCTTAACACAGAGCTCCAGCTCCAGAGTTTTTCTCCTGTATTTCCCAGAACTTTTAAAGTCTTAATTTCTTCTTTTGGACAGGGTCTCTCTGGCTGTCCTATTTAGACTAGACTGGCTTCAAATTCACAGAGCTCAACGTGCCTCTGCCTCCTGAATGCTTGGATTAAAGGCTAGTGCCGCCACACCTGGCATTAAAATTTTAACTCTTAGTTCATTTTAGCTCATTTGGGTCTATGATCCATTTTGAGTTGGTTTTGTATAAAGTGCAAAGGAATTGGTTAGGTTCTTTTTTAAAGCTTATGAATAAGAATTTTGTTCTTTTGTCCTTTTGAGACAGGGTCTCCCTGTAGCCCCTGCTGGCCTGGAACTCACTATGTAGACCAGGCTGGCCTTAAATTCATAGAGATCCACCTGCCTCTGCCTCCCAAGTGCTGGGATTAAAGGCGTGTGCTGCCACACCTGGCCTTGAATAAGAAAATTTTAATTCTTCCAGTTTTAGAAGCTGAAACTCTTAAAACAAAGTCCTCTGAAAATTTAGTGTCTGGTGAAAGCTGGGTTCTTTAGTTTCTTTTTAAAATTTTTATATCATGACACCCCCTCTCCACTACCCATTAGCTGCCCGTGGTACCTCATGAACCCCTCCCTCATGCATGTTGAAATAGTGAGGATCCAGTCTTGAATAGGTCTTGTGTAGACAGCTATAGCTATAATGAGTTCAAAGTACAACAGCCATGTCATGCCCAGAAGTCACTGTTTTCAGCACTCCCCCCCAATCTCCTTCAGCCTCCTCTTCACACAGTGGTCCCTGAGCCTTGGAGGAGGTGATATGGATGTTCTGTTTAGGTCTGAACACTCCGCAGTCCCTGATTCTCTGCACTTTCACCAGTTGCGAGTCTCTGCATTCACTCCTGTCTACTGCAGAAAGAGGCTTCTCTGATGAAGGTTGAGGGAGGAACTGATCTCAGTGTACAGCCAGCAGTGGGTCTTAAGTCTTGATGCCCTCCCTGACCTTAAAGCCTAACTGGCGACAGGTGGTGAGGCCCCAAATCTTGGCACATTTGCAAGATCCTTTTTTGTACTTATCTCAGCACCATTTGTTAAAAAAGTGGCCTTTCTCCTTCAATTGACATTTAAATGAATCAATTGATTCCAAGGATTTGTGGACTTCTTGTTTCATTTATCTCTGTCTAGTTGCACTCCATGATACATTTTGTTGATCATCAAGGAATTGATTCCAGGGTCTTGTATGTGCCAGGAAAGATTTCTGTCACTGAGTTCCTATTACACGTTTTCTTTAAAAAAATATTTTTGATATATTTTTACTTAATGTGTGTGAGTGTTTTGCCTGCATGTATGTAAATGTATGCAATGCCCACAGAGACCAGAAGAGGGTATTAGATCTACTGGAACTGGAGCTATGGATGGTTGTTCTCCACCACGAGGATGCTGGGAGCCAAATCAGGTCCTCTGCAAGAGCAGCTAGTGCTGCTAATTGTTGAGCCATCTTTCCAGCCCTATTATATGTTTTGAAACTGGTTAGTGTAAGTCCTTCTTCATGCCTCTTTAAAAAAATTGAGTTGGTGTGGGCATAGTCCCACATGTCTTTAATCCCAGCACTAGGGAAGTAGAGGCACGCTGATCTCTGTGAGCTCAAGACCAGAGTAAGTTCCAGGCCAGCTGAGACTACGGGGAGAACCTAGGGGAGGATTAAGATGGATTGTATGAAATGCACAAAAATTATTTAAAAAGTATACATTGAGAACAAGTAAAAAAGTTGAGTTTGATGGATCCAAAGCCCCCAGAATAATGGATTTAAACTAAAATCCCCCAGGCCTGAGAAAAACTGTACAAGGAAGTAAAAATAAAAAATAATTCTGAATGCTAAGAACAAGCTGAGCTGACCTTTTTCATGCTCTTTGCCCAAAGCTGGAAATCATCCCAGAAATCCCCCCACCTCTGCTTGGCACATAGCTGCCGCTTGTGACGTTACTGCCGCTTTCTCTCTAGTTTGTGGCCTTTGTCTTTAAAAGAAGCCTGTGAACTGGGCTCTGGGCTTCTGCCCTCCGAGTGAGGCAGGGGTCCGTTTTGCAAAACGTAATAAATCCTCATGCTTGTTGCATCTTCTGGTCTGAGGACTGAGTTATTGGGGAGCGGCCTCCTATGGA